CGTGCCGCAAGGGCAGTGCACGCGCTGCTGCAAGTGGACAACGCAGCTGAAAGAGCTCTACCGCGAATATACGTGCGGCAACTCGTCGACGCCGGTCGCGCAGTGCGCGGGCACGGACGCGGGCTGCAAGACGACGCAGTGCCTCGCCGCGACGGGCGACACCTTCTTCGCAGCCAACGCGGCCGTGCAAGCCGGCTACAAGAAGGCGACCACCGACCTCATTTCGCGTCTCTATCCCACCCGCGGGTACGAGGCGACGTCGGAAGTGCACTTGCTGCTCGAGTGCACGGCGTACGGCGTCACGAACGAGGGCAAGTGCGCGCACGTGGCGGCGATCGACGACCTCTTTGCTGTCACATCGCAGCTCGCCGATGTTAACGGCCTCCTCGCCGCGTCCGAGTCGGCGGCCAAGTACGTCTACTGGCGCTACCGCGTCAACGGCGGCGCGTGGCGCGGCTACAAGGATGCGAGCGACGCGTCGCCGCTCCGGTTCGAAGTGCAAAAGTCGACCGTTGAGCTCGAAGCGTGGTCGCAGTGTGGTCTCGTCAAGAAGGTGCAGTTCGACGTCTATCTCCACCTGAACCGCAAGGTCTGCGTCGCGGATGCCTTCGAGAGCATGTGGTACCAATCCAGTAGCAAGTTTGACGGCACCGGCGCGCTCTGCAACGTTGCCGAGAGCGACTTTGCCGAGCTCACGTTCGACTATGCGCCGTCCATGGGCCTTCGCTGCGGCAGCAACGACACGCTGCCGTACGTCTCGTCAAGCGTCCTTTGCTCGGTGCAATATGCGGCGCGGTCGAGCGCGCTGCTGCTGAGCTCGTCCGCGTACAATGCATCCATCCTCAAGCGCTTTGCGTTCCAAATGCTCGCCGAGCCAACGACCAAGGCCGACACGACGTTTACGATTGCGTGCACGTTTGCCTACGAAGGCTTCCAGACGCCCAACATCTCGGTCGCGGTCTCAAAGACGTTTACGGTCAAGAACTGCGACATGCCCGGGTGGGACTGCCCTTTTGGTGCGTGCTCGGACTCGTGCGTCGCTGGCAACAAGGGCGCGTACGCAACCAAGAAACCGGCGCCGTTCCAAGTGTGCCGCGGCACCGCCGTCTCGGCCACGGGTAAGGCGACCGTCGTGGCCTCGCTCAACCAAACGTGCTGCACCGCATGCGGGCAGGCGCAATGCCAATCCCTTCTGGACGCGCCGAGCGACGACCAAGACGTCTTCCGCTGCGTCGTCACCGAGCCGAAAATGCTCTCGGAGAGCGCCAAGCTGCTCGAAGACAGCCATGATGACATGGTGCCCAGCGGCGCGACCGTGCTAGCCCTCTCGTGCATGCTCCTCGCGATGGGTCTCGTGCTCGTCGTCGTCGTCGGTCGCCGCCCGTCGCCGTCGGCGGACGCAGATGCCATCGCCGACTCCGCCTACTACCCTCTCCTCGACCACTAACTCGGTCGCAGCCCGTTTTTGACCCTTTGATACCGATGAATAAATCCATTTTTGATGCTTTCGTATCGCGCACGTCGTCGTCTACGCGCGGCGCAGCACGTGCCGCAAGTACTGGTATATCATTTCGTATTGCTCCTAGTCGACGATGAGACATGCAAGGAATCCAACGGCGCGAGGGTAGGGTACCGCGGTCTGCACCATGCCGGGGCGGTCGGTCCGGAGCTGCTGGACGACGGCGCGCACATCGAGCGCGGGCGTGACGTCGGTACCGTGTACGACGGCGGCACGCAGCTGCTTGAGCATCATATCGATGGCGATAAACGTGCCGGACCGGCCAATGCCGGCGCTGGATTCGCACCGTGACGCACCTGTCGTCACGAATGGAGGAGACGGACCTGCAGTGCACGACGATCGGGCCGGGGGCTTCTGCGTCGTTGAGCGCATTCACGAGGTGCAGCATGGGCTCAATGACGCCGAAGTCTGTGAGCACGCCGTGGTCTGGCCACGTCGTGAGCTGTACGTGGTGCAACACCCGCGACGCGTTGCCTACATCATCATCATCATCATGTGCTTGAAGCAAGAGAAAGATCGTACTTGGCACGTGCGTGAGTTCGAGAGACCGCGTCGTGTAGCCGAGCGTCGAGGGTGCCTCATTGGCGAGGTGCACGGTGAAGTCGCCAATCCGCACGACCGATCCGCGCGGATCCCAGTACCAGTCGGCCTTGAGCTAGTACAGATTCGTGTGATCGAAACAATGAGTTATATGTTCGTCGAGCACCATTTGCCGCTCGACAAAGTTGGTCAGCATCAAGATCACGCGGACGTTTTCGTGCCAGATCATCGACCAAAAGTCGGCGATCGCCGACGGCGGCGGCGCGCAGCAGGCAATGTACGCCTTTTCGTCGATGAAGTTGGCGTTGATGTAGTCGCCCGCGTCGTCCGAGGGCGGACCCTGCAGCCTCACGCGCGTCTTCTCGAACGGCAGCACGTCCGTGTACCGGTTCTTCTTCCACGTCGCAGGCGTTTGCACGGTCAAGGCCGCTTCGTACCATTCGCTGCCATCGACGCTTGCTCGGATCTCGAGGTACTCCTTCTTGAATTCATGGCGACCGGCGGCCATGGCGTCGCACTAACAGCATATGCACGCATCGTGAGCGCAGGGTTGATCGGCCTGCTCGTCGTACTCGCTGCAGGAAGGCTTGGACCGGCGCCTGGGCCTGAAGCTCGCCCGTCGCAAGCGCCGCCACAAGCGGCTGCCAGAAGACCTCCATGGAGCTCTTGAGCTCGTCCTCGACGCTTGCGGCCGGCGCGTCGTCGCTGCGCGCTGCCTTCTTCCACCACATCGGTTCCGGCTTCTCTTTTCTTTCCCA